GACATGTCCGGCTTTTCGGCACTCAAACCCCCGTCCGGGGGGGATTGCCAAAAAGCCGAACATGTCCTGGAAAATGCCGGCCAGGCACTTCCCCTCCCGCGGCCGCTCTGCTCCTCCCTTGACTCTTCGGCTCTGTTTAAGAGCCGAGCTGCCCGAGCGCTATGGGCTTCAGGCAGCCCCCATGCCTCTGGACCCTGCGCCGCTGGAGTCTGGGAGGGGAAGTGCCCGGCCGGCGGCTGGGGTCCGGAGGCAAGGGGGCTGCCTGAAGCCCATAGCGCTCGGGCAGCTCGGCTCTTAAACAGAGCCGAAGAGTCAGGGGAGGAGCAGAGCCGCCGCGGGAGGGGAAGTGCCTGGCCGGCATTTTCCTGGACATGTTCGGCTTTTTGGCAATCCCCCCCGGACGGGGGTTTGAGTGCCGAAAAGCCGGACATGTCTGGGAAAAACCGGACGTATGGTAACCCTAGCATATCTATATCCCAATAGTCCCGGCCACTCTCCGTGGCCCCGTCCCCTGCTCCTCCTTTCCCCCGCCGAGGCCCTGCCCTCTGGCCAGGATGGAAGCCAGAATTGGGCCGTGATAAGTAGGGTGACCAGATAGAAAGTGTGAAAAATCAGGACGGGGTGGGGGGTAATAGGCGCCAATATAAGAAAAAGCCCCGAATATCAGGACTGTCTCTATACAATCAGGACATCTGGTCACCCTAGTGGTAAGAGCCATCCAAGGAGCCCGGACACTGTGGAGAGTCCTGGACCCTCCACCACAGGGGAGGCAGGGCCTTGGGGGAAGAGGAGGGCAGGGGTGAGGCCACGGAGGAGGCAGGGCTTCATGGGCCCCCCACTTCTACCTAGGTTCCAGCACTCCTGCCTCCAGCATGTATTACTTTGCATTTATCAACACATAATTTCATCTGATTTTGGAGCAGGAGCCCCAGTAACTTTCAATGGGATTCAGGAGCCTAAAGCTCACTTTTGAAAAGGGACCTAGCTGTCTCAGTCACTTAGGGCCAGATTTTTAAAAGTATTGAGGAACCTAAAGATGCAGACAGGGGCCTAGTGGGAATGTCAGAGGCATCCAACTGCCAGAGATCAGCACCTCACCTGCTTAGGTGCTTTTGTCAATCCCACTAGGGCCTATTTGTCTCACTAGGGACCTAAATACCTTTGAAAATCTGGCTCTAAGACCCTTAGGCGCTTTTGAAAATTTTACTCCCAGTGATCTGAATCCTAACATGTTGGCCTGGGAATTTATTTCAGAAGAGGCTGCTTCCTATTTCAAGCAAGTCCTGCTTTACATGGGTGGTGGAGCTGTGACCCTTGTGGCCCTGTTGCTGACAGGAATGTTCATAGCTCTGCTAATCAAGCGTCTCAGTAACAAAGGTAAGAAATGCATGGCTTTGTTTGTGCCTTTGGTTATTATTGCTGAGGGCATTTGCCTGGAAACAGGTGATTTATCCCTTGAAGAAGTGCAGATAAGGTCAGAAAAGTGATTCAAGATGGCCCCTTATTAGTCCACGTGGTTCATCTCTGTGTGCCTGTTTATGGACAGAAGTACACCCTCTCCTCAGCCTTGCAGACCCAGCATAGCTGAGGGAGGAGCTGGATTCTATTCTGCCTCACATGGCTGAGGGCAGCAGCATCTTTGTCCCTGATGAGGCTCGGTGAGATGAAGGGGCTGAGCCAACCCTCACTGAAGTCAACAGAACAAGTGTGGCTGCTGCCACTATTTTCAGGGAGGTCCAAAGGCCTGAAATACAGAAGACTGGCATGCTGTTGTTGAAATAGACTCCCAGAGAACAAGTTCAGGATCTACCTAGAACCCTTTCTGAGGATAACCATTTTCCCCAGGAGGTAAACAAAGCCCCAACAGAGAGATAGGAGCCCTGTCAGCTGCACCTTGCTCTGCTGGGCCCTCCTAATAATAATCTCACATGTCCCAGAGGCCTTGCATCCATGCCCCTTGGCTCAGATGGCATCTTTAAGGTGGTCCCAGTTCTCTTCCCTCTACCCAGGCATGGAGTCTAGCCATGTGGGGTGTGACATTCCCCTGGTGTTATCTGGACCGACCAATCCTTGACTCTGGGAGCCAGCCTTACCCTGCTCTGCTGTGGGAACCACCACTCCTGGGTTCTTCCTGAATAGCCTCTTGCATGTAAGCTGCTCCCAGCTACATGAGTGAGCACTTTTGGCCAGCCGCTGCTTGGATTGTGCAACTGAATGACACTAGCCAATATCTCCGGTCCCAGACACAACCCTAGGAACCTCTGTCTTGCAGTGTCCGGTTATGCCTGCTGGACGCTGCAAGCTTATATGGGTTTGTCAATTTAACAAAGAAATTGACATGTACCAGGCTCGTTATCCCAAGGGGAGTCTCTGACATGCTTCAAACCAAACGCACTACTTCAGGTAAACTAAACAAAGAAATTTATTAACTACAAAACATAGATTTTAAGTGATTATAAGTCAAAGCACAAGAAGTCAGATTCGGACAAATTAAATAAAAGAAAAATGCATTCTAAGCTGATCTTAACACTTTCAGTGCCCTTACAAACTTAGATGCTTCTCACCATAGGCTGGCTGGTTGCCCTTCAGCCAGGCTGTCCCCTTTGATCAGCGCTTCAGTCGCTTGGTGGTGGTGTCTGTAGATGATCGATGAAGAGAGAGCCAGCATGGCAAACATCTATCCCTTTTATCATGTTCTTTCTTACCCCTTGGCTTTGCACTCCCACCCCCCCCACTTCAGGGTCAGGTGAGCATTACCTCATCATAGTCCCAAACTGACCAAGGGAAGGGGGGGGTGACTCACTGGAGAGTCCAACAGATCCTTTATTGCTGCCTAGGCCAGTGTCCTTTGTCCGTGTGAGGCTGGGCTGGGTTTGTCCCATACATGCCCTGATGAGGTATGTACTGCCCCTCTGTTCCTGGAGAGTTTTGCCTGGGCTTGTTTTAAGCCATAAGGATACATTCTCAGCCTCATAACTATATACATGAAATTACAACCTATAACATTACTATAATATTACTGTAACAACAATGCTCATTGCATCATGAGCCTTCCGAAGACACCTGACATGACAAACTTTGCATTGGATATCACACAATCATATTATAAGGATGAACATGGGGGTGCAGGATGTTTCCCCGAGGTATTGAACATCACATGGGGGGTATATGTACCCGAGCACAGTGTATCTCCACTAACCATCTCAGAATTTGCTCTCGGAAGCCATGGTGAGAACCTAGTCTGTCAGAGACTGCTTTATCCCACATGCTTACCATACCCTTCACTGATGAGATCTGTTTTGTTGTTGTTGTTTCTGCACCATCCCATGGATGTTTCAACTCCATCATCAGAGGAAGAAAAAACACTGCTGAATCCCATCAGGTAAGAGCAATGTGTTCTGTAAGCTGATCACTCTAACTTGCACCATGGCTTTCACGAGCACTGCAGCTACCATGGAGGTTGCCAGTCCCCTGTTTTTCCTCACCCAGCCCTTCCAGAAATTTTAGCCTTTTGGGGTGAGACATTTGTGTCTGACCCCAAAAGTGAATTTTTTTGAAAGTCTGAACAGGAATGGTTTATAGTATCAAGCACGAGGTGTGTAGGGCACTTTCCCCCATCATAAAACATCATATAGTCCTTACCTTAATAACTTTAGTGCTGAACCAGCTGGGGCTAGAAAGCTGAATTCTGGCAGGGACATAGACATCTTCTCAACATGGGCTTTAGGATTTACAGTGAAAACTGGTTTTGATTAGACCAAATGATGAGCCTTTGGAAGTCACACTTTGTGCATACACAGAGGCATGATAGGTGCATTTTTAACAATGATTTGCCAGTGTTCCAAAGAAAGGCAGGGTGCACTATTTTGCATGTGTTGCTAATGGGACTGCATACACATTGTAAATAACTGGTCAGTAGATGCCAACAGAATGAGCTAGGGCTCTATAGGAGTCCTGTCCTGGTCAATGGGATTGTCTTGCCTGTTACGTGTACCATGATTTTTTATTACTAAATTCCAGTATTTAAAATAATAACACAGAGAGCCATTTCTTTCATTGGGTCCTTTAAAAATTGCAGGTTTAACAGGGGTTTCTGTTATAATCCACATTGTGAGAATTTAAAGTGTGTTCCACCATGAAGCCAAAAACATCGTGGCATGGAGTCCCTGAGGATGAACCTTGTATAGTGTTGTTTTGTTAGACCCTGGCTTTCTGTGCAGTGCAGGCTCAGGTCTGGAAGGGCAGTAAAGGTTTTGTAAACAATAGACTGGAGAATGGCCCACAAGATGGAGTCATTACGTTCATTGCTGTTTACTTGTAATATGGATCCATATGAACACAGGTACAACATTTATGGGCAGTCATGAGTGGTTACAGCACCACATTCAGGGGATAAAGAGGCTCTGATAACACATCCTCCCAGACACAGATGCAGTGACTCATTCAGGAAAATGTGTGAGTCTTTAGGAGCTGCCAAATCTGTGCCCCAATTCTTATTTTGCCTAGGGTGGAAGAACCAGTTCCTTAAGAGAGAAAAGGGCTTTTTTGACCAATGGTAGGGGTTCTCTCATTTCCTATCACTCTAGGTTTATACCAGTGTGTTTCTGTTGTTGTCTAGTAACCTGGGAGCCCCTGGTGTCTTTACAAATGCAGCGTTTGACTCCAACTTTTAAGGTAAACTGTCAGAGAAATCAGTCTTGAAATGCTTATTTATTTCTATGAGACAGAGTGGGTGCAGTAATATGTTTTGCTGGACCAACTTCTGTTGGTGAGAGAGACAAGTTTTCAAGCCATACAGAGCTCTTCTTCAGGTCTGGGAAATGTACTTAGGGTGACCAGATGTCCTGATTTTATCGGGACTGTCCCGATATTTGCTTGTTTGTCCCGCGTCCCAACCAATGTTAGGTCGGAATACTGGACAAACAAGCAAGGCTCCCGCGCACAGGCGGAGCCCGGAAGGGCTCACGCCCCCCCCCCGCCCCAACTCCGACTCCCTCCTTCCCCCATTGGATCCCTCCCCAAATCCCCGCCCCCATCCCCGCCCCATCACTGCCCCATTGGCTCCCTCCCCAAATCCCCGCCTCTTCCCAAGCACGCCATGCCTGGGAGACTCAGGGGAGTGCGGGGCCGGCGTGAGTGTGAGTCTGGCCTGGCCCCGAGCAGGCAGGACTCGGGCGTGGAACCTGGAGGGAGAGTAGGGGGGCGGCCCGCGGGGCCAGGCGGCGGCTGTTCTCCCGACCTTGGCAGCGAGACTCAGGAGCAGCTGCTGCTGCAGCTCCCACTGCCGCGGGGGGGGGGAAGCGGCCGCTGGCCAAGCACGTGGTGCTCGGCGGCTGCGGCTCTGGCACCCAGGCCCGAACCCCCCGAGCCCGGGCCTGCTGCGGGGACCCAGCAGCGCGCACACTGCACCCAGCCCCTGGCCAGTCACATCTGGGCTGGCTGCCCAGCTGGTGCAATCCTGCGGACGGCCCTGGGGCGGAGGCATCGGCAGCCCTGTTCATTCCCCTGCGGGACCCGAGCGGGATGGGGGGGCTGGGGCCTGCTGCCCCCACTCCGGGGCCACCCACGGGATTGCACCACCTGGACGGCCAGCCCAGACACAACTGGCCAGGGGCTGGGCGCGTGCAGCGTGTGCGCTGCTGGGTCCCCGCAACAGGCCCGGGCTCGGGGGGTTCGCGGGCACCAGAGCTGCAGCTGCCGAGCGCCATGTGCTTGGCCAGCAGCTGCTTCCTCCCCCCGCAGCAGTGGGAGCTGCAGCAGCGGCTGCTCCCAAGTCCCGCTGCCCAGGTGGGGAGAACAGCCGCTGCCTGGCCCCCTGCTCAGATTCACCCTGGCCCCGCGCTCCCCTGCGTCTCCCTGACCTCCTTCCAGCGCTTGTGGAGGGAGAAGGAATGGTGGTGGTGGTGGTGGTGGGGGGTGTTGTTTTTTTTTTTTGCTCTGCCGCCCTTTTTTTCCCCCAGACATAGTTGCCAAATGGTCATAGCCTCCTATGTGAACCAGCCACTAGAGGAAGACAAAGACACTCTTCTACAGCTTGTTACATGAAAATCCAACATGGTTCAATGTGTGTTTGTTTTACTGTCTAAATAACATGCACTACTGCAAAGGTTCTCAACCTGTGCATCATGGCCACCCCTGTTTCTCTAAGGGTAGATGGGAGAAGTGTCATGAATGCTCTTCTACTGTGACATGGGGTCATGACATGGAAAAGGATGAGAACCCCTGTGCTAGAGGAGCTGATTTGGATACATGCACAAGCTCTACAAGTTGGTACACCATGCAAAATGTAGCAGAAAGTCCTAACCTAGTCCTAAAAAGGCATCTGGAAACTCTTCAATAAATGAGAATAACTCCCCTCCCCATCCCCCATTCACCCCACCACCATGTCAATAACTTCAAAATGAACAAACTGAACTTTATCAAACTCTTTAAATAAACTTTCCTTTGGGTAATTTCTTATTTATATCCGTTATAGCTAAAGCAGAAGATGCCCCCAGGAGAGAAGATCACTGGAAGGAAAAGGACCTGAAGATGGTACTCATGCCTCAATCCTTTTAGAAGCTGTTTTTATACCTTACTCCCCAGCTCAGCTCTGCCATCATCCAGCCCAAGAACTCACAGTCACTGACAGTCAGGGATTAAACTAACTCTGGTGCACACATCCAGTTCTGATCTGAAATCTGGGCTCGTTCTTCCTCTGACACTGGGCTTCGGTTCACAATCCAGTTGTATCATGTAAAGGTCCCCAAGCATGAGTGGTGGGTTAACTGCTGGCTCAGGGAGGCTAGCCCCCCAGTCCCACCCCTTCTACCCGAAGCCCTGCCCCTTCCATGCCCGCCAGAGCCCAGAGACCCCCCACAGTGGCCGCTGGCCCCTGCCTCAGGCTAGCACCCCCAGTCCTCACCCCCCAGCCCCAGAGAGCAGGGAGGCCAGGCAGCATGGCCCCAGCCCAGCCCTGGACCGTGAGGAGGCCCGGCAGTGCGTCCCCAGCCTCCCTGGCCCCAGAGCGTCAGGTGGCCAGGCAGTGCAGCCCCAGCCTCCCTAGCCCCAGAGCGCCGGGAGGGTGGGCAGCACAGCACCAGCCCCAGCCGGGGCCATGATGGCACAGGGGAAAAGCCGTCCACAGAGTGGGAAGCAGGAGGGGACTGGTGACGGAGTGTGGGTGAGGCCACGCCTGGCTGTTTGGGGAGGCTCAGCCTCCCCCAGCCTATGATACCTGCCGCCCATGTCCCCAACCCACTTGTTCCTTCATCCACCTGCCTATTGGATGCTCGGAAAGGTCCTCAAGACCTGGGACCTAGTATCTACACCCTCAATCACTCTCTAGTCCAGGGGTGGTCAAACTTTTTGGCCTGAGGGCCACCTCTGGGAATAGAAATTGTATGGCGGGCCATGAATGTTCACAAAATTGGGCTCGGGGTGAGGGAGGAGGTGAGGGCTCTGGTTGGGGGGTGCGGGCTCTGGGATGGGGCTGAGGATGAGGAGTTTCGGGTGTAGGAGGGTGCTCTGGGCTGGGGCTGAGGGGTTTGGAGGGCGGGAGGGGGATCAGGGCTGGGGCATGGGGTTGGGGCACTGGGAGAGGCTCAGGGGTGCAGGCTCTGACCAGTGCTTACCTCAAGCAGCTCCCAGAAGCAGTGGCATGTCCCTTCTCCAGCACCTACATGGAGGCACGGCCAGATGGTTCTGCACGCTGCCCCATCTGCAGGAACCGCCCCTGCAGCTCCCATTGGAGTGCTGGAGGGGGCCACTGGAGCGCGTAGGAGCTGGAGTGGCTTCCGGGAGCTGTGTAGTGCGGCCCCCAACCCAGTGCCCTGGCTGGAGCGCCGGAGCAGGGCTGAGCTGTGTGGTGCGGCCCCCGACCCAGCGTGCTGGCTGGAGTCCCGGAGCAGGGTTGAATTGTGTGGTGTGGCCCCTGACCCAGCGCCCCAGCTGGAGCGCCAGAGCGGGGCCAAGCTGCATGGTGTGGCACCCGACCCAGCGCCCTGGGAGTGCCAGAGCAGAGCAAAGCCAGACCCCTCTCCCCAGAGGGAGCTCGCGGGTCGACTTAAAATTACTCGCGGGCTGGATACGGCCCGCGGCCCGTAGTTTACCCACCCCTGCTCTAGTCCCATCCTAACCATCATAATATTCAACACTCACACAGAATTCATCTCTTCAAAGTGCTTTACTAATTGTTACTAATTGCTAATTGTTTACTGTTCTGTAAAGTGTCAGATTCTGATGTAAATTGGCTAAATTGCATAAGAGGTACCTATTCCTTCTGCCTTGTTCTCCAGATGTGCTTATTATTCACAGCACACAGGCTTTTCGGTATTGCTTTTTCTAAAGTCTTTCCTAGGGCTTTTCTATTACTGGTGGACTATGACAAGTGTGTGCAATAGCTAGTAACTGTGACCACCTCTTGAAACAGGTTATCAAGTCTCCAGTTGCCACTTGCCCTTCAGAGACATTTTCCAGCTTCTTGTCTTCTCTCTGTCTGCCTGTGGTGGTGGACTATGGTGTTTCCCCTGGACACTGGAATATCTTGCAGAAACTGAGCAGGTGGAGGGACAGCTATCTAGGAAGGAAACAACTGGCTGGAACTTGAAGCGATGTTGACTAGGGAAAGGAAACACAAGACAGTTTTATGGAGGTTGGCATCCCTTGCCTGAATGTGTTATTGAGGTTCTTTAGCTGAGATCTTCCACCTCACAAAACCCTGGCACATTTATCGATAGTTCTGTAAGGAGACCCTGGAGGCTGACTTTTTCTCTTCATTAAACTCATATACCTTCACGGATGGCATTGGGTTTGCACAGGAAAAGCTGAGCACAGAGTGATTTTATATTTGTTTTTCTAAGCAGCCTCCTCTATTAATGTTTCTACCAGGTGCTCAGTGGAATTTTAGTATTTCTTCCATACGATCATTTTCATACCAGGGAGGGAGAGAGCTGCTCCCCGTATCCTATCTATGAAGGAGGAGTCTGTTCCAGGCACTCCGTGGAATCATTGCAGGTTTCTTCTCACTCAGTGTTTGATGGCTTCTCCTTATTTGCCTTTCTCCTCCAAAGTTTCCTGGCAAGACTGTCCCAAGTTCCCTCTCTTCCCCCACACCTCCACTTTTTTGCACTAAATATTTGGAGGAGAATTGAACCCAGTTTACAACAGTCTATGAATGTCGAAAAATAACTTTGTAGAATGCCAGGCTTGCTGCCCACCCTTACTCTTTCTGAAGCTACTATGCAGACATGGTGAGGCATCTCTTGTATTGCCAATGCCACCCTAGTGCTTCCTCAATGATCAGCAAAGGAGATGGAAAAATATAAATATGGACATGGCATTAGTACTTTATTGGCTATCTTGTAATTTACTTTTTTTTTGTCTTTCAGAAGTGGGTCCAATAAAGTATAATTCAATAATAAAAGTGTGAATGTGAAACCTGGTTTTTGCTCATCTTAGTTTTGAGCACTATGGAATAAGCAAGGCACAATCAATACCTTGAACTGAATAGCAGATAAAACAGGCCTTCAAATGGAATTAATACAATCATGTAATCTGAAATATTTGCATAAAACAGGCCAAAGAATCCACCAACTGATTCCTGCCTGTTTCTAGCCCAATAACTAGTTGAACAAAAGTATATCTTTAAGAAACATAACCAGTCCTGATTTAAAGATTTAAAGTGGAGAATTTATCACATTCCTTTGTAATCTGTTGCAATGCTTAATCACCCTCAGTATGAATTTAGCTGACTTCAATTTAATGGCACAAGGAACCATTAGAACATATTGCAAGACATGTTAGATGATTGAAATCTTTATTGATTATTATAGCATATGCTACAGCTCCTCTCCACATTAGTGCTGAATCTCTTGAACTCTAGTGATGTATTTAGCAGGTAATATTGTGCACTGAATCACAAAGCACCTACTTCACTTTCCTTAACAAAACAAATAACCTTTATTAGACATAAGGAGAAAAGATTCCAAAGTGCATTAGATATAACACCCTTCTTCACCAGGTTAGAAACACCCCTAATTATTGCCAGTGTTATCTGTGATTAGATGTTCATCTACATGTGTTCTCCCTGTGTGCTGCCCGAGCTCTGCTCAGACAGCCAGCACAGCAGACCTTGAGCGAACCGCCCAATGACCACAAGATCTGTTAATGTATGAAGGTGGCAGTACAGGTTTATTGTTGACAAAGCATGGTAATAGCATGTGGCAGACTCTACGAGGATACTAAGACATGTATGCCTGTGACAGTGGACCAGCTCAATGATTGGTGGGACTTTCCATTCCCTCCTCGGCTGGACAAAGATACTCTCTCCGAGATACATCTTTATACCCTGATACAAACAAGTTATGTTACACATGCCAAACCCGCAGAAAAAAACACAGAAATTGGGCTCATTTTTGGCTTAATTGGCTGTGAGTTGCTTGTTGTCTAGTTTTTGTCTTATAGCTTGTTTGGCTTGTAGCTTGTTGTAGCTTCTTTTTTTTTTGAACGGCTCCCGGCAAGCAGGGGCAAGGGCGGGGGGGGAGAGAGTCAGGGTGCACAGTGGGCCCACCACAGTTCCAGACTGCATGCCAGGGGATCTAGTCACATAGAGTGTTGGGGTTCTAAGGGATAGGCTTGTTTTGGCCTTGTTTTGAAATGGGATTAGCTTGATTTTTGGCTTATTGTGAAAGCCAGGGAGCTTATTTACCCCGTGAAAGTTGGCAACTGTGCCCTAGAGCCCCAGGCAGGTGCAGTATAAACTCACAGGGCTTTGCCCTACTAGGATGTTTCCAAAAGTTAAATGATCTATTCCAAGTTTGATGAACTGCAAAAAAGTGACAGAAAGTAATCCAAATTTTTCTACAATTGTTTCAATTGTTGTATTCAAGAGTTAGTAACAAAGTAAGAATATATATTACATTTTTAAACTTAACCAGTGTCCCTTAACTGAATTGACACAAGATTGCAGAACATGTTAGTAATTCAGACCCATCTCGCAAAGCTCAGCCTTAAATACTACAGTACACAATGCAGCCATTACCAACCTGGGAAGACACCCTGTCCTCAGTACATCCCTGTGGGGCATGGAGTGCAGCAGCAATGGATAGATGAAGAGCTCAGAGGAAGTGGGTCACCTCCTGCTAGGAAACAGTAACTAGAGACACTGGCTAAGCACCTCTTAAGGCGGGGTGGCCAACCTGAGCCTGAGAAGGAGGCAGAATTTACCAATGTACATTGCCAAAGAGCCACAGTAATATGTCATTAGCCCCCCCATCAGCTCCCCCACCCGCTCCCAGTGCCTGCCACCACCGGCAGTCCCACCGATCAGCGCCTCCCCCTCCCTCCCCGCACCTCCCGATCAGCTGTTTCGTGGCATGCAGGAGGCTCTGGGAGGGGAGGGAGAGGAAGGAGGGCATGGCAGGCTCGGGAGGGGCCGGGAAGGGGTTGAGCGGGGGCAGGGCCTGTGGCAGAGCCAGGGGTTGAGCAGTGAGCACCCCCTGGCACACTGGAAAATTGGTGCCTGTAGCTCCAGCCCCGGAGTTGGTGCCTATACAAGGAGCCGCATATTAACTTCTGAAGGGGTGGCTTCTCTGGAGCCACAGGATGGCATCCCTGTCTTAAGCAGGGCCGGTGCAAGGAATTTTTGCGCCCTAGGCGAAACTTCCACCTTGCGCCCCCCCCAGCCCTGCAGCAGCTCCCCCCTGCCCTGAGATGACCCCCCCTGTGTGGCAGCTCCCCACCCCAGCTCACCTCTGCTCCGCCTCCTCCCTGAGCACGCCGCCCCCGCTCTAATTCTCCTCCCCTCCCAGGCTTGTGACGCCAAACAGCTGATTGGCGCCGCAAGCCTGGGAGGCGGGAGAAGTGGAGCGGTGACCGCGTGCTCGGGGAGGGGGTGTAGGAACACTGTAAAAAAAATTGGGGGCACCGCTTTTTGGCGCCCCCAAATCTTGGCGCCCTAGGCAACCGCCTAGTTTGCCTTAATGGTAGCACCAGCCCTGGTCTTAAGGTCTGTCTGCACTGCAATCAGAAGTGTGACATGTAGATTGGGCTCCAGCCCAAGCCTGGAAGTCTACACAGCAATCAAATAACCCTGCAGCCTGAGCTCTAGGAGCCCAAGTTGACTGACACGGGCCAGGCGCAGATATCTAGTTGCTGTGTAAACATTCTCATTGAATTCAATCAAAGCCAGCTCAGATAGGTCTGTATACACATGTTGCAATCTCTCCTCTGATTGCAGTATAGACATACTCTGTGTGTGGAACATCACTGGTCTTGAACACCAGCCTGCAGCTTCAGGAGCAGTGTGCTTTATAGGCGCTGATTCCGTGGGTGTTCCGGGGCTGGAGCACCACGGGGAAAAATTGGTAGCTCCCTGTCCTGCCCCCCCACCCCAGTTCACCTCCATCTCCTCCCCTGAGCGCGCCACGTGCCCGCTTTTGCCCCCTAGCTCCCAGTACTTGTGCCGCAAAATAGCTGTTTCATGCAGCAAGCGCTGGGAGGGAGGGGGAAGGTGGGGAACGCAGCGCGCTAGGGGAAGATGCAGGGCCAGGGCGGGGATTTGGGGAAGGGGTTGGAATGGGGTGGGGCAGGGGCTGGGAAAGGGTGGAGTCGTGGCGGGGCCAGGGCGGGGTGGGGGAGGGCATGTGCACCCACCGGCACTGGGGAAAGTTGGTGCCTATGGTGTGCTTCCTCTCCAGGGAGCAGCTCGGACAGCTGTGCTTACCCCTGGTTACAGAAAGCAAATGCAACTGTCACAAGGCTTAGCAAATCCTAGATTATATCATAATAATGGGGAAAAGGGAGCCTTGCCTTTAGCCTCTAGTTCAGTAGGTGAGACTGAAGAGCCTGTGGTATGGAAGTCTGTGGATTATGACACAGAGTTTGGAACCTTTTAATACAATTCATACCAACCCCATTTTCCCCGATAGCTCCATCCTAAAATATTTATATAAATGGTATTCTATTATTGTTTAACAGTGCAATTTTTTTAATAGCTTGACAGTTAGCATTAGAGCTGAGTGGGTCTAATATTTATTTAATTTTTTCTTTATATAGGAATTAGAAATTATTATCTGACAGGAGCACTGTATCTAAGTTATCTGCAAAAAGATAAGAGTTTTCAGGTGCCCAAGTAGCCTTTGGAATCACGGCTGCCCCCCCCCCCCAAATGGCGCTACTGCTGAACCCGAACTCCCCCTGAGCCCCTGCCCCATGGGTCACCTGAACCCGGATCCCAGACCCCACCCCATTGGGCAGCTGAAGCCGGACCCCCGAGAACCCCCGCCCCATTGGGCACATGCAGCGTTGCCCGCCCTCGGAGTGTTTGTCCCCAGCTACCTGAGGCGCGCCGGGCCCAGAGCGCTCCTGCGGGTGACACTGTCCCAGCTGGCTCAGAGACAGGGCGCTGGCCCCGCCCCGCCGGGCCCCGTGTCCTCTCCCGGCCATCGTAGCAGGGCGGTGCATTGCGCTGAGCTAGGAGACGTGTGTTTAGGACGGAAGGGAGATGGCGGCGGGGGAGGTTGAACAGAGCACCGCAGAGCCGGGGCTGCTGGCACCCGGGGTCGGACCCGACTGGGGTGAGCCAGGCGCGGAGCGTCCTCCTGAGCGGGTGGGGCGGGAGCTGTGAGGGGCATTGGCGGGGAGGGGCGCAAGCCCAGCTGTGTCCCCGCTGCCGGGTCTGGCTGCTCCCGCCCCGGAACGTGGGTCAGGCAGCGTGGACTCCTGGCGAGAGGCCTGGCTGCCTCTCGTTCCACGCGCGGCCACTGGGCCTCTCGGGCAAGTCTCCGAGCCTGGGCTTGCTGGGCGCTGACAGGGCCGCGTGGCTAGTCGTGCTGCCTGGATTTGGGATCCGGGTGGAGTGGCGCGGGCAGAGTTAAGGGTGCCTGTGAGGTGTTTTAGACATGTGGACTCGTTGTGAGATCCTATGAACCCCTGTCCCAGTCCTGCAAACACTTTGCGTGTGACACTGATGGAACTGCCTGGGTGTGTAAGCTTACTCATTGACGTGTTTGCTGAATTGGGGCCTTAATATCCACAGAGTCTGCATGGTGAGGTTCACAATATGAACATCTGATCTGCCACTCTCCTGTGACTGGTACAGTACTAGGGTGGCCAGATAGGAAGGGTTAAAAATCGGGACGGGGGTGGGGGGTAATTGGCACCTATATAAGACAAAGCCCCAAATATCAGGGCTGTCACTATAAAATCGGGACATCTGGTCACCCTATACAGTACTGTAGTACAAACACTGCCTTACCCTAAATTTTTAGGCTGAAAATTCCAGTCTAACATTGAATCCCATTGAATTTCCCCGTTCAGCTCCTTTGAAACTCCCATTTTTAACTTTTAGGATATGCTGATGTACCACTTCGTTTGCTTTGCCTTTAGAGTCTGCCCTCTTTGATGAGCTCAGTGACCTGGTTGACACAGATGAAATACAGCTGGATGTGGATAATAAGATTTATGTGAGTAGCTTTTAGTATGTGCATTTGATTGTCTAATAATTTGTTGCCTAAACAGAGCCTCAGGAGCAGAGCAGGGGTAACAGCCCCTTTCAGGTACAAAACACTATGTTAAGTTTGCAAAGTGAAGCACTCAAAAGTTAGAAGATGCCAAAGTGAATGGTACCTGTGTCCCTTTGTGTGAATGCATTGCTATGCAATTTCTAATTATGTGGTAGACTATTCTTATTTTCACGGGCCCCTTGTTTCACTCAGTGTACAGACTGAATGACAGAAAAGAAAAAAGGCACTTGTTTAATGTTTATTTTTATCCTCGATATTCTGCATGTATTATAATGTTAACATTCTTTTAACATAGTTTTTTGTATAGAATGTCCTAAGGTATCTTTTTAACAAGAGAAAAAGACATTCTATGCAGTCGAACAATTTGATAAACAGCAGTAGAAAACGGCGCATATATATATATATAAAATGGTTAAAATATTTATTTCAAAGGTTCAGAAACGAATACAGAGATACAGAATATATGGATAGTGGAAAATAATAGTACAGATTATATTTGATTTAATAAATCTTGGAATACGGGGGAAGTTCCAGATGACTGGAAGAAAGCTAATGTTATATTAATAGGCAAAAAGTGTAAAGAAGATGGTAATTACAGGCCTGCTAGCCTGACACTGATCCTGGACGAAGTTATGAAATGATGCATGCTTGACTTTCTCCCTATAGAACCTGAAGGATAGTAGTATACTTAATGCCAGCCAACATGGTTATGTGGAAAATAATTCCTGTCAAATGAACTTGATACTGTTTTATGAGATTACAAGTCTGGTCAGCAAAGGTAACTGTGACCTAATATGATGTGATTTCTGTAAGTCATTTGACTTAAATACAGCATTATACTTTGAAGAGGAAATTAGTATCATACAAGTTCAATAAACCACATATTAAATGGATTAAAAACTGTCTAAATGAGATCTCAAAACATAATTGTTTAATAAGGAATCATCATCAAATGCATGTGTTTCCACAGGGATTGGTTCCTGACATAATGCAATTTAATGTTTTATGTCAGTGACTTGGAAGATATTAAATCATTGCTGATATTCTGAAGATTTTAAAGATGGGGGGCGCAAAAGTGGGGCCTGGATTGGGATAGCCTCTGTCACCCCTTCTCTGTCCCCAAGAGATCAGTTGTATGACTGCTCCCCTCCTAGAGGTCAGTTACACAGTTCCCTCTTAAAACCTGAGCCCCAGGTTGGGTGCCTGGAAGTCCAGATGCTGACCCAGCAAATCTGTCCTGGGCAAACCCTCCCCTGTAATCAGTGAAGAGACATTCCTGTACTGCCCCAAATTCCTTCTCAGCTTCCTTCTCTGGGCCCCTTTCTAAGGCCTTGTCTATACTACCAAGTTTTGTTGACAGAAACTGCCTTTTGTCGACCAAATAGTGAATGCGTATACACTGCAATGTGACTTTTATCAGGAAAAATGCCTGGTTTTGGCGACAAAATACAACCACCCCAACGAGAGACGTGCGTCTTTTCCCTCTAAATTTTTCTCGACAAAGTGCCAATGTAGATATCACGCTTGATTTCGTTGCTTTAATTGGCTTCCAGAAGGTGTCCCACAAGGCCCATCGTGATCGCTATGGTCAGCAGCCTGAACTCCACTGCCCTGCAGCTAGGTAAACAACCATCTGCCTCTCCCCCTTAGAAGCCCCAGGAATTTTTGAAATTCAATTTCCTGCTGGCTTGGCATGGAGAGGTCTCATCGCATTTTCCCAGGTGACCATGGTGGGTTATTGCACCAAACGCTCTCCCACTTGGACAAATGCGGAGCTGTTGTAACTGATCAGTATAGGGGGAGAAGAGGCTGTGCAGTCACAGCTGCTCTTGAGCTGTAGGAATTGGGATACCTACAGCCATATGTCTCGAGGCTTGTGCGAAAAGGGTTAAAACCGGAGCACACTGCAGTGCAGAGTGAGGATAAAGGAGCTGAGGCAGGCGTGCCATAAGGCAACGGAGGCAAACTGTCACTCCGGTGCTTCACCTAAGACCTGCTGGTTCTATAAGGAGCTGGACGCCATCCTTGGTGACGACCCCACCTCCATCATCAAGAGCCCCATGGATACTTTGGCGGGCCTGGAGGTGATGGAAAGAGGACCTAACATGGAGGATGAAGTTATTGATGAAGAGGTGGAGTTAGACAATGATGTGCAGCTCCCGGTGGGGTCGCCGAGTGGGGCAGGCATCCAGGAACTTTTCTCCACTCTAGAAGTATTTTACCAGTCTCAGCTGTTGCTCTCCAGCAAGCAAGAAGCAGGAGAGGAGATGCCTGGTAAATGATTGTGGTTTGTGTAGTGCAGAGGTGGGTTTGGGGTATAGAAATGTGGAAGGCTGGCTGTTTCTGTGAGAGACAGACATTTCCCTGTGTAGCTAATCGTACGGCAGAACAGGGTGTTGATGCATGCCAAGATCTCACCATAATTCTCCAGAGAGATCTCCAGGAGAGTTTCCTCGAGGTACTCTGTAATCCTCTGCCGAAGGTTCCGTGGCAGAGCAACTTTATTCCTTCCCACATTGTAGGAAACTTTCCTGTGCCATTTGGCAACCAGTTGTGCAGGGAGCAAAGCATCACATAGGTGAGCAGCATAGGGAGCAGGGCAGAAACTACAAGCATGGAGTAGATGTGCCCTTGTTTCCCTGCTTACCCTTAGCAGTGAGATATCTGCTAGAATGACCCTCGCCTGTGGAAAAGTGTGGGAGAATTTTTTCCCTAGCATGCGGCACCACGACTCTTCTAGAGTGTGTGCTCTTTTCCCCATGTGAAGCACCCCACCCCGCCCGCCCGCCACCACTCACCATGCTTTGGGTGTTTGAAGAGATGTGTGCCTGCCAAGGGTCAGTGAGAACGGATGGCAATGTTTCAAAAGGTGCATTTAAGTGAAATGTTTCAGTGCTGTGTGTGAATTTAACAATCCCGCTTCTGTGCATTGTCCCTTGTGCTTCGGCAGATGTGGCCTTCAGGAACACCCCACACATCCCAGCCAAGCTTCTCCATCAGATAAAAAAAGTGCCCAAGATGCAGCAAAGAAGACATGTTCTGGGAGGTAATGCACTGCTCCAATATAGAGAAAAGGGAACGCAAGGAGTTCTGGGAAGCCGAATGGCAGGACAGAAAAAAGAATCAAGAGTTTGTTAAGGATGCAATTGAGCAGATGATTAAAGTAATGGAGGAGCAAATGTGGATGCTGAAGTCCTTAATAATGCTGCAGACTGAGCAGATCTATGCCTGCCCTCTCCTGCAGCACATTCAGAACTCTTTTCACATGCCTCCCCCTCCCCCTCCCCCAACTCCACTCGCACGTTCCTTTCCACTTTCCGTGACTTCTCAGTTTCCCCTTCACTCCACCCTCTCGGACAACTTTCACAATGATAGCTGAACCTATACACAGCTGTTAAAGTCTGCCCTTTCCTGGTTCCTCCTTTCCCACCAAGCATCTTTGTGTGTTTGTGTTTGTTGTTTCTTGTGCAATAAAAAC